ATGGGCAATTGAAGCTGGACTTGGATGATACCAGACTCCAAATCTCCACGTAAGCCGTAACACGGACAAGTCTGAATCAAATTGAGGCTAGTTTTCAGGGTGGCACAAAAGGCCTAGATTCGAAAGACTCGAAGCTGTGCAAGTGGGAGCCCTGGAAGCCCATGTCTCAGTAAACGATGTTTAGCGCCGCCATCGAGAGCCCGAGTACCTTATTCGGAAAGAAAGAAGATTCGTCACTGAACGATTCGAAATGCTGACAACCTGCACCATTCTCTTCGCAATTGTGTGCTTACCAACTGATTGGGTTTAGTCCTCATCTTACAGAGTACCTATGTGCCATCCGTTTCTCTCAATTGTATTCATAGCCTCAGCTAGCTAAGCTGGACTGAGTGCACAAGCGCTTGACGTCAAGATGATGCCTGAATATGTTGAAGGGCGTATTGTTTCTTAAAGCTCAACGCTGAAATGACTAGCGATCAATGGCAACTCTTCTAACTTTATGTGAGATCTTCAACGAAAGCCATCGCGCGTCTAACAGTTACTCATGAGGCTATCCCCAATGAATATTCCCAAGCTCTACCGCAGGTGTACCAAGTCAATTTGTTCGTTTCTCATTAGTAGAAGCTCTTGGGCGGTTGACGAAAAGCTAAAAAGATGCCAAGACATCTGAGCTTCTCGCGGTCTCACTAAGTGAGACGTAAATTGCCAGCCTTCTGTCGATGGAAGAGAACTCAGTAAGACAACTCACTGCTCCGATCGCAATCGTCTTAGTCTCGACTGCATGATTGGATGCTCCTCCCGAAAAACAGCACGGTAAACATAGAATGGCATGATCATAAACTAAGGGAGCTCCCCATGAGCCGTTTGCATTCCGGAGTTTTCACAATTAACGCCAATCACCGCGTTCCTCCCCGCATACTTCGACTGATCCAATCTGAATCCGCTAACAACAAGCGCGAGGAGCTGAAAATCTTCAGCCGCTCCACGAGAATTCGGTGGCAGTTGACCGTTCAACCCCTCACCCGCACCCGTAGTTGCCGGTGGGTGTCTTGCCGCATCTAGGCAAGTGGTGATCCACGGTTCGAACCTTGTCACGCTCGTCGACCTTGTTAGCATGGGGCTGTCTCAGTAGAAGCGGGACGCGGCCAATCACTTCTAGCCCCTTGCTTGCCGGCCCGTTCCTTGGGCTAGGCCGACGGCTGACAGCATCAAACGCGGGCTGTTGCTTCGCTCACATATCACTCTTGTTTCTCTCCACGCAAGTGTTTGGTCTTCCCAAATTCCTCTGTGGTGCTTTGAAGATATCATGTCACCCTTCCAAAGATGCAGAAGACGGGACTTATGGTAGTCAGATTACCTGAGTACCATCCAGTAACTTTTAGATCGACTATGAAACATGAATATCTGCTAGTCGTGATTCTGATTCGAGTCAAGGTCCCCGAAGTGTATCCAGCAGATAGCTTGGTGGAATTCGTGGCGGTAAACATTTTCATCAATTCACGTTCCATGTCCGGTTGCGATTTTGAGTCGCAACGCCACGCCGTTCCAGTCCATAGTCATCACGGTCTCGAATGTATCCCTCCCCAGTCATCAGAAGACTAAGGGCTGAATGATCCGCGCACTACCTAGGTATTGTGAAGGCAAAAAGCTAGGCTTGCTGATATGATAACGCACCTATACGAATCTTGCTCAAAAGTGCTCATATCCCCTTTCTCATGAACCCCACGAAGCAAAGCCTATCGAGCAGGTTCTCATCATTTATCTTGTTAGCTAGCTTTCGAGCTGCCTCGCCAAAAACCCACTATGTTGGCCCTTCGCCATGTCTGGATCATTGTAACTGATGTTGCCAATACACTTTTCGGTTCACCCTTCTTCCGAGATGGACCTCAACACCACCTAGGAGCCAAGTTTAGCTGGTCGAACACCGACCTTGAGACCGCTGGACATGGTAGTCCCATCTTCGCGCCTCCTGGCAGCAACATTGATAAATTTGTCTGTGACTACAGCCAGATGAAGGGTTTCAAGCCATGCGGCACTGCAGAGGACCGAAGCTGTTGGCTTCGCAACTCGGATACCGGAGAAGAATACAACATCACAACCGACTATGAGGACAAGATGCCGCAAGGCATCACTCGAGTATACTACCTCAACGTTACGGATGGCTACATCAACGCGAACGGCCTGAACTTCACTGAAGCAAAGCTTTTTAACAACACTTGGCCTGGGCCTCTCATCGAAGCTTGTTGGGGTGATACTGTCGAGATCCACGTTCAGAATCTCCTCGTCAACAATGGAACCAGCATTCACTGGCATGGCATCAGACAGAATCAAACAATGCACATGGATGGTGTCAACGGAATTACACAATGTCCCATTGCTCCACAGTCCAGCTTTGTCTACCGATGGGATGCCACACAGTACGGCTCCTCGTGGTATCACAGCCACTACTCGGTTCAGTACGCCGACGGATTGCAAGCCCCCATTGTAAGTTGAGTCGTTCAATTAGTCCTACAATCTCTGCAAGGTTTGTGTGCTAATGAATTGACTTCAGACCATCCACGGACCAACATCCTTCCCGTACGACGAGGCTATTGAGCCAATCTCGGTGACTGATTGGGGTGAGTCAGGCTGAACCATTTGATGCCCGCATTGTCTGGCTCTATTGAGTTGATGCTAACTGATGGATTTTAGCGAATAATAGTGCATTCGAAAACATGTACATAAATGCAACCGGACAAGACATACTCCTGGGTGGCATCGGGAACATCACTCGATTCACTGGTGGAGGTATTGATAACACCACAGAAATTCCCCGTGGTTACGAGATCTGGTTCGATGACATCGAGCCCAACCCCTCGACGAGAGCAAAGCGGTACCTATTGCGCCTTGTTAACACTGCTTATGATTCAACGTTTATCTTCTCCATCGACAACCACAATTTCACTGTTGTTGAGGCAGACTTCGTTCCCATTGAGCCATTCAATGCAACTTCTCTCCTCATCGCCATCGGACAGAGGTATCATATTATCGTTGAGGCAAAGCCGGTTGTCGACAGTTCGAACCCCGATGCTAATCCTCTGCCGGCGGATGGCAATTTCTGGATTCGAACCCAATTGCCAATGTATGAAGGCACAAATTTGACGAAAGAAGGCAACATTACTGTAGATGTGAACAACTACATGAAGACCGGCATCCTCCGTTACGACAGTTCCAGTACAGCAGACCCCACTACCACGGGTTGGAACATTAGCCTCGCTTTCTCAGACACGGACTTTAACAACAAACTGGTGCCGACTGTTCCTTGGACAGTTGGAATTCCGGCAAACGGCGGCGTCGGCGAACAATTCAACATCGCGGACCTACACAACGTAAGCAAAAGCGGACCATATGCGCAGGCCTTTTTCTCTTTCGAGCGACCGGAGAGCAAGGACGTGAACCCCTTCCAGACCGCGTACGGGAACCCTACGTTCCTAAACCTCGACAATGTTGGCGATGAGTGGCCAACAGGATGGGTGGTCGTGCCGGAGAACTATACCGCAAAGGACTGGGTGAGTTTGATTGCACCTACAACACTCTTATTGAATCTATCACTAATTGGCATACTTAGGTTTATCTAGTTCTCAACTCCAACAACACCGACATAACCCACCCGACATTTGGTCCTCATCCCGTAAGTGGCGGTGACGTTAGATTTTGTCGAGAACCTTCAGACTAACTGCATTCAGATCCATCTCCACGGCCATGATTTTGCCATTGTCCAGCAGGAGGATGACAAGTTGTGGGACCCAGCAGATTTCAATCCCAACACAAGTAATCCGCCCCGCCGTGACGTGGTACTGCTTCCCAAGAGCGGCTATGCCGTCATTGCCTTCAAGTCCGATAACCCCGGCGTGTGGTTAATGCATTGCCATATTGCCGGCCATGCTTCCGCTGGCCTGTCTCTCCAGATCATGGAACGACAAGCTCAGGCTAACGTCATTTGGAGGCCCGGAAGCTCTCCAGCCCTAGATGAGGCCCATACTCTCTGTGCAAGCTGGAATACTTGGGCGTATGACTGCAAGAACTACTGGCCTGGCAACCTGGGTACCGATGAGAAACCAGACTACCCTGCCTGCGCCAATGCCACCAACCTTCAGAACGATTCTGGAGTTTAGGCGAGGACGAGCACACTGAGAGGATAACAATGATTAATTCAGTCCGATGAGACAGTTTAATGATAATGTGGGGGACGAGAGAATGGGAAGGGCAAGAAGATACGGTATAGGAGCATGCTGAAGAGTCAACAAGAGAGGAGTCTTGAGAAGAAATCGGTAAAGATAGCAACATGATTGGTGTCCAAGATTCCGGTGGCTAGCAGCCGTGGCTGATGTGGGCAAGACAAACGGTAGCGACAGAAAGGCCATTCAACCCGTTCCACCGAAGCAAACAACTTAGATTCGTTCTCATTGTCCTCTCAGCTCCCCCGCCTAGGCGGACTCATGCAGCCGTTGAGCCAATCTTCCAGCAAATGCCAAGCTCACACATGACCCGGCCAATGGGCATATTGCCATCGTATTCTGGTGTGGTATGCGACCCGGCGGCACGGTAGTCGCGTGGCTTGTCCAACGGGCGACGACCAACGGCCAAATCTGATGGTGGCGTTCTGGGTCTGCGCTGTTGAAAACGAATGTAAGCGCTGACACCCAGAACAGATATACGAGTGAGCGGCACTTTGTCGAAGGAACGCCGTCGAGGACAGCCTTGATTTGTCTTTTCCAGTCTCATCATCCCACGTCGCGATATCAGAGCAACGACAGTGAGGTGACATGGATGAGATGTGTGAGTTGGCAGTGGATGCTGTTGAGTGGGTGTCCGGCCGGTCAATTCTTTTGCCTGCGACGGGGTTCCCGTCGAATGCGATGAGATTCCTTCATGACTATGTTTATAAACCCCTACGAGAATCACGACACGAAGTCAAATTCTCGTCCGAGACTCAGCAGCACCGTCTCAAGTCGCCTATAATGCCATTCACAAAGTTCAGGGAGCTCCCTCCCGAACTCCGCTTCAAAATCTGGGATGAGGCAACAGCCGGGCCGTCAATACACATCTTTGATGTCTGTTTCCCGTCCTGGCGCGGCACCGATCGAAGCAGACGAGCTTTCCAATCCGCGGACGGTAAGATTTCAGAGCGGAACCACGCGAGATGGACAAAGTACAGAGAGTGCGTCTTCTTGGACGCCCTCGAAACGGGACCGGCGGAGCTAGCGCGACATACGAGGATAGCAAGACACATGCACGATCCATCCGTCTACAAGCAACGGCAAACGATGCGGCTAGTGTGTTCTGAAGCCTCGACGGCCGTGGAGAGGCGGTCAAAGCGGAGGAGTATGAACTCTGTCTACCTCCCCGGTCGAAACCAGAGGATAAAGTATGACAACGAAGAAGACGTGCTGCTATTGCGGTTCGGAGACGGCGGTGCCCTCACGGATCTCAGCCACGGGGTTTTATTTGGCGAATATGAGGCTTCGGGAGTGAACAACTTGACCGAGGTGCTTGAAGGGCCGTGGAGCGCCGAGATAGCGGCGACGTTGCGTGATGCGCGGCTCATCGCTTTGGATATTGCGGAGACGTGGACGCCGGCAACGGTTGGGGCGGTGTTGTTCGAAGAGGTGGCGTATCTGGCATGTTGTATACAACGGGGACTCCGCGTGCTGTACTTGGTCGACCACTGCCACGGCCGATGTACCCGATGCAAGAAGCAGGATGTCACGAGATCTCAGCTCCAAACCCGCGGCGAACTATATTTCCAGCTTGACAGTCGAGACAGAGACGCGGCCAGATCGCGAAAAGCGGACGTAATCCATGGTGTGGGGAAGACGTATCGGGAGGTGTTTGATCTGGAGGGCATGGGTTGGTCGGACGAGCACCCGATCTACGTGTTTGCGAGGGTTATGGACGAGATGATCAGGAGCCAGCAGACAGACGCTGCTACGCAGGATTTTGAGGGAATCAGGGTGTTGCTGGTGGAAGACGATGAGTTGGAGGGCGTGGACAGCACGACGGCAATGGACTGTTATCCGGACAGCCGTTCAGAAGTCGCCAATGAGAGCGTTGACATGAGCCTGCGGTAGTCGAGCTAGCGACGCGGGTGAGAACAAGAGACCTCCTCGGCGTGAGAAGGGCGAGATAAGCTGACTGACGAAAGGGTGCCTATTCCAGCTGGACCAAGTGGTTGGGTCGAACCGGCTGACGTGGAGCAACGAGGAGCTGATTTCGTCGAAACGACTGGAAGGATGCGAGCTAGGGAGGGAGACCTTGTATTACTATAATCTCTGGAAGAAGAGACGTTATTGACAACAATGTAGCCGCCGGAAACATTGACAAAACGTGCTGAAGCCCACCAGTTTTTCTCTACTGGGAATACCTTTTGACGCCATACTATGCATATACCACGCAAGCTCAAAACCACACATACACGTATAATTACCTCGCTAGAAACTGTGAGTTAATTAGCAACAGGGCTTAGAACATGGAATGATGATGATGATGATGATGATGAAGGCCAGACTTACCGTATCTCATAGGAACCCGCTCTCGTCATGTACCGCACCCACTTGACGCTGGAATAGTTGCTCTTTTCGAACACCTTGAGGTACCTAACCAAGAGGCCTGAACTGGTAAACATCAACAAGCTAAAGTTGAGGCTCAGGGGCGGCCGCGACCAGGCGCGCTGATTCGTCATGCTCGTCAGGATGGCCTCGGCGCTCAAGACAAACTCGCTCTGTCCCGTAAACCGCCCAATCTTCCACACAATGTTGTTCTCGCTGGGCTCGTACTTGGCCTTGCCCTGGGTGCACCGTTCCGTGATCTTAGCAGTGTTGAGCGGTGTAGGGATGCGGACGACGACGTTGGTGGCGAAGAGCTTTGCGCCAAAGTTTGCCTTGATGCCGATGCTGTATTCGACCTTTGTGCGGCCGACCTCGTTGACGATGGCGTGGATCTTGAAGGGGAGGTTGACGTTCTCGGTGGCGCGGTAGCGCATGAGCTCGAACTCGCCATCGGGCGGGACGAAGGAGATGATGCGGTCGCTGTCGAACTTGCCCAACTTGACGCACTGGTGGAATTGACAGTCTTCGAGGGTGACACTGCCGGCGGCGGCCTTGGTGGCCTTTGTTCCCATCCTGTTTCCACTCGGTAGACTAAGGAGCCCGTCGTTATCGAGAAGTAGCCGGTCGTTGAGGCCGAACTTGCACTCTGGGGTACCGGAGAGGTAGGCGCGCATGACGATTTGACCCGTGACGTCGGCGCGGAGGACTGCTCCCGTGGCGGACATGAGAAGGTTGACGTCTTCGATCACGTCAACGAACGCCTCGTTCTTTCTGTACTTAACATCTGCCTTGCGCCACGAGAGCGCGCCTGTCGCCTGCATTGTAATCTTGGCCGAGTCCTCGGCGGCTCGTTCTGACTTGACGCCTTCGGTCGTGATGTACATCTTGAGGGTGTCGGTCTCGGTATTTTGGGGGTAGCCAAAGTCAATGATCTCTGCAAGGCGAACGTTAGAAGGGGAACACTAGTAACACAGTCCATTGAGCCGGTGTGATGTGGCACGTACCGTCGAGCAGCTCATAGACAAGCACGAAGTTGTTCTTGACAGCCTCCTCATCAAACTTGCCAAAGTAGCCCCGTCCCAACGCAATTAAGCGATAGAGGAACTCAAAGACCAGCGCAGCATTCGCATTGCTCTTGGTAATAGCAACAAGGTAAATGTTCTCATGCTTTACGTGGCTGAAGGTGGTGCTTCCAAGGGTCAAGATGGGGGACCGGACTTGCGAGTTCGAGATCACTTGAATCCGGAAGACGTCGGCAAGTCTGGGCCTGCAATCGTTGCGAAAGGCGCGGAAGATGAGGTTCTCGCCCTTTTGGTTGAAGATGAGGATTCCAGACAACATCGTGGCGGGTCAGGGGATGAGGGCGCACGCGAGGGGAGCGACCACTGGGGATTGACGAGCGGACGGAGAGACGGGAGGGCGCGTTGTGGTGAACAGTAGTAGAGCTGGTGGGATGGGTGTGTTGGTGATTCTCGAAGCACAGGATCGCGGGCGGGACACGGCGGGGACAGCGGCGGGAACTGGCTCGGTCAGCCGTCAGGGGAGCTTCCACTTTGCGACTTGGTCAAGGGGGACGGTTTCGGGACCGGCGGGAAATTCTGCCAGGCCCCAAAAGGGTCCGGGCGGTGAGCCTCGCGGTGGACCGGCGCTCCGTGCGGTGTGGGGCACAATGGTCCATGCTTCTTTTCTTAGGTAAGCTCCCTGGAATCGCCTTACGTGATCCACTCACGTGCGGACTCCCGTCTTGACGTGTAACGGTCGGTACCTAGATACCTTGTCTTATGTAAGCACGGTGATCTGGACAGTGCCAATACATTTTCACACCTCCGCCCCGGTCGTCTTCCTCCTCTTACACACCCACCGTCACCACCACAACCACCATCACGAGTCTCCGCTCCCCAAGACAACAACGTACGACCCTTATTCGTAACCGCATTCCTCTCTGATCTTCCGGACTGTTCTTCGGATGGACTGCGATGTTGAGCACGGGACTGTGCGTCCGAAAGATGCGCGTCGGTACCATGAACCCTTGGCATCTCACCACCAAGAGAAGAATCTGCCTCGACATGCTCTTGTCACCACCCACCAACTGTATGCATAGCTGATAGTACACGGCTCTCGGTTGTTCATTTCTCCTCGCGTCAATGCTATTGATATCAGCGGCTTGCAATGTTATGTATACTCTCAAGCAAAGCCTCTTACACCGGCCACCAATTGCCACCGTGGTCATGACATGAGGTTGCTGGACGTCCAAATCTCGACGAAACGTCAATTTGGATCGTTCCCGCAGGCGTGGGAACCCAAGATTGAGGGCCGATGGTTATTAGGTAGGCAATCAGTATTGATTGCTTCCGCTCTTGACACTCATTAACCTCATTAACACCAGACAGGTCCGAGTACCACAGCACCACCATCGACGCGGTTCACCACCACACAAACCCCAATTTCTCCAACTCGCTTGTCGTCCCTTGCGTCTTGCGTCTTGCCCTCCAGTGCCCTCCTGAGTGCGGCTCCGACTAATCGCCATGCCTATTCCTCTCTTCGCTCACGGTACCTGTCTCTGTACCTGAAGCCAAGCTACTTTCGCTTCGGCTTTCGATTCGTCAACCTCGCATCCCCTGACTGGTTATCTCTGTCTTTTACCTACACTTTCCGACACGTTCGCGATGCACTTCTCCGTCTTTAAATTAAACGGCATAGGCACGCCATTCCTACTCAGCGTTATCTCGGGCAACGAAGCCGCCTTTCCAATCGAGAGTTTGCTGGATTGCAACTTGACCGGAACGATTCAAAGAGCTTCCCGACCCCTCATGGCACCCTCTTCAACGGTCCCCACATCCATCACGCCCCCATGACCAACGCGCTCTTCCCTTCGTGGCTAATATGGAGCGTCGCCTCCGAGATGACTTACACTCCGTTACATCCAATACGCAGTTTGCCCACACCTTGGCTGGCGGACTTTTACTCCTTGACGCCATGGAATATCGATGGTGGCCGTAGTTTGCTGCAACCGCAAGCAATTCATGGCTCCATGCCCAGCTTTAGGGACCTGGTCCAGCATGCCGTCAACCAGGCGATTCCATGGTTCAAGACCCGTCCTTCGGATGTCTCTTCCATATCCCCATAGACCCATGGTAACGATGGCTCCCTCGGCTTGGTCTGCTCTCTTGACGCTTTTCTCAATGGAGTAATCAAGCTCAAGATGCCGCTGCTTCACTCCGCGATCGTGGGGCAATGCCTCTCTCCCGCCGGCAGCCCAGAATAGGCCCAGCACACATCCATCCCGCCGTTCCGAAAGGCCAAGCGGTGTGTTCAAGAGATCCGAGTCCTCAACTCAGGTTGGCAACATGATAAAAGGACCATGTCCCAGGTCGTTCATCATCAGCTCCAGACTTGCAACCCACGGACATCATCCTCTCCAGAGTCAAGTCAATATCCCACAACAGAAGCAACCATGGCTGCTCGTGCGTTCCTCACTGCTGCCCTCTTGGGCACTGCAGCTCTTGCCGTTCCCATCGAGGAGAGGCAATCTTGCGGAGCCGTCTGGTAAGTAGGATATGCAGCTTGAACGAGGAAAGAATCTGATTGGTGACCAGGGCACAATGCGGCGGCCAAGGCTTCACCGGCCCAACGTGCTGTGCTTCTGGCAGCACTTGCGTCGTCAACAACGCTTATTACAGCCAGTGCTTGCCCGGCAGCGCCTCTTCCGCCAGCTCTGCTGCCGCTTCATCGACTGTCCGCTCTAGCTCTTCCGCAGTCGTTAGCCCTTCGCGAACCTCGACAACCGCCGGGGCCGGTACCACTACCACGCAGGCCGGAACTGCCACCACTAGCGCTCCCGCGGTCACCGGTGGTGCGACCTACACGGGCAACCCCTTTGCCGGAGTCAACCTCTGGGCCAACTCATACTATGCCTCCGAGATTACGACTTTGGCTATCCCGTCACTGAGCCCTGCTTTGCAGACGGCGGCTGCCGCCGTTGCCAAGGTCCCTACCTTCATGTGGATGTAAGTTATCTATGCTACGTACGTCGGTGTTGAAGGCCTCCTTTTGCTGACACCATCAAGGGACACTCGTGCCAAGATTCCCTTGGTTGACTCCACGCTGGCCGATATTCGCAAGGCCAACGCCGCTGGCGGCAACTACGCCGGCCAGTTCGTCGTCTACGATCTCCCCGACCGCGACTGCGCTGCTGCCGCCTCCAACGGCGAATACGCCATCGCTGACGGTGGTGTTGCCAAGTACAAGGAGTACATCGACGCCATACGCACTATGATTCTCAAGTACTCTGACATTCGCATTCTCCTGGTGATCGGTATGTGTCTTGTCTCGCACCCATCAAAATCTGCGTTTCCTAACTTTCTCGTCCAGAGCCTGATTCCCTGGCAAACTTGGTCACCAACCTCAACGTTGCCAAGTGCTCCGGTGCCCAGGCCGCCTACCTCGAGTGCACCAACTATGCTGTCACTCAGCTCAACCTGCCCAATGTCGCCATGTACCTTGATGGCGGCCACGCGGGTTGGTTAGGAGTAAGTTTTCACCGCGGCACGCTCCATACATGTTCTACTGATCTAATATACTTCTCCAGTGGGCTGCAAACTTGGGACCCGCCGCGAACATGTACGCAAAGGTCTACAAAGATGCCGGCAGCCCCAAGGCTCTCCGTGGAATCGTGACCAACGTGGCCAACTACAACGCATGGAGCGTTAGCTCCCCGCCTTCCTACACCTCAGGTTAGTCGTACCCATCCAGATTTCTAACGTTTCCGTATCTGACTGGCCTAGGCAACTCCAACTATGACGAGAAGCACTACGTCGAGGCTCTCCAGCCCCTTCTCGCGGCTCAGGGATGGGACGCTCACTTCATCGTTGACCAAGGCCGCTCTGGTAAGCAGCCCACTGGCCAGTTGGCTTGGGGTGACTGGTGCAATGCCATCGGCACCGGTTTTGGTCTCCGTCCCTCCACCAACACAGGCTCATCTCTTGTTGATTCTTTTGTCTGGGTGAAGCCTGGTGGTGAGAGTGACGGCACTTCCCTCACTACCGCCACTCGCTACGACTACAACTGCGGCAAGGAGGACGCTCTGAAGCCCGCTCCTGAGGCCGGAACTTGGTTCCAGGCCTACTTCGAGCAGCTCCTCGTAAACGCTAACCCTGCCTTCTAAGTGCTGTTCCAATTTCTTCTACAAATATGGCCCTGGGCTGCAGACGTCGCGTTCTATTTATCTTCGTGTATATATTTCACCTACTTAGAAGATGAATCTTTTATAAACTGTCGAACCCACTTGGCTCTCCTGCTCCGTGCTGCTCGGGTAGTCCGTCTTCAACCCGGAAGGACTATGCTTGCTGTGTGGGTCAATCACCGATCATAGAGAGGAAAGCATCGGAGCGCCGTGCCGGTGTCTTTTGGTCCGTCTAGGTCCCGAGATCTAGGACTGAACCCTGGGTACCTGAACTGGTACAAACTCGGTTGGCCTGATCGGAAAGACGCCGCTATAAAAAGCTCGCCCCTCAGCGCTTCCCCTCCCTTCTCTTTTCTTATGGTTCTTTAATGATAGCTCGATGGATCCGATTTCCTCTCAAATCACCCCCAACGTTCGATTACGCAGGCCGCCAAGCCTATATAGATGTGGATAGCCCTTCTCTTGGCCCTCCTCTTTACACTTACACTTATTTGAATGTTTTATCGCATTCCTTGGCCTCTCAAGGCCCCCCGCAAGCGACACAAGGAGAAGAAATCTGCAACGAAGGGAGGCATACCGGTAGCCCTCCCATCGGGTTCCGATGCAGAAGCCAAGACACAGGGGTTGTTCGCCGTATGAATTCCAAAAACCTTCTCGCTATATCTTCTGGATGTTCTATTCTGACTCGTTATCTGCGCAAAGGAACAGGATACGATTCTTGGCGGCCAAGAAGCCCAGCAACCCAGAGATACTAGCCTCCCAGAAGCGAGCAGCACAAACGAAGCCGATAATTCGGCCCCATCTGCCGGGGTCGCTAAGCACTCGATACGGTCTAAAATCCTAATGACAATCAAGACAAAGTTGAAAGGAAAGGGGAAGAGCAGTGGAGTGCCCTTGGATCCTCGATCCCCTCCCTTTCAACCCTTTACCTCTAGCGCAGGCATGAGGCCTTCGTGGCTAGATCCAGGAGAGGATACAAAGTTGGCAGATAGTAACCCTTACTCTGCCCGTTTACCGGTCATGACAGTAGATGGGACCGCCGTCTCGGGCTCTTCAACGCGACAAAGGTGGCAAGCCCCACACTTCCATATAAATAACGAATTGCCAACTCAATGGGTGACACCTCGACCTTTCGATCCTACTGCTGTCCAGCCATATCGGCCCACGCCAGAGGGCCCCGCGGAGGCGTTTGCTTACAACCACGGCACCGCCCCGGACAGGCTTCGAAAGCCATTATCAACACCCCTATTCTCGCCCTGCGTACCCCCATCTTTGCTCAGACCTTCCGACAACAACCAGCCAAACGTCTCGATAATCCAGGAATTCTCGTCTCCTAATCCGTCGTGCCAGGAAGAAGAAGAAGTGCTTCGACGCTTCATTAGGTTTGCAACGGGCCGTAGGTGTCCAAGATGCAAGCGTGGCGTCGCAATTGAGAGCAGCACCATCTTCCAACACGCCAGTGTCATTCTTCTAGGTCGAAAGACTATCGAGCTGGGCAGCCATTATGTTAGATGCTCTTGCGGGATCTCATACTGTTTCGGCTGCTCCCGAATCGGAGATAATTTAAGGACGCCATTCGCCGGTTCCAAGTCGACCAAATGGTGCTGCCCCCCTGGTCGACTTTTCCACATCTTTGCTCTCCTGTGCGGCCCGACCGCCCACGCTGCAAACCCGCGGGTCTCTATCTTTCAAGACTCCCAAGTGGACTCGATCGAGAAGCCCCCCAAAACCGAGAAAAAGTCCGGGTCGAGATTCAAGAGCTACTTCAAGACCAGCGATGACCAAGGCACATCTAAAGGAACGGGCTACGCAACGGGTAAGCTCGACAGAAAGAAAGAGAAGCCCGATGAACTCGCCTGTATTCGCCGCGAAGACCTTGAGAACAGCATGGTCCGGTTACCCAGGCTTTTCGCCGCGCTTTCGATAGCATGGCCTTCAACTTCCAACTACACTCAGTTTGATCGAAATCCTCCACCGTTGTTAATGGTCATGGCTCGCCGAAGCCCGCTGATGATCAGGATGGCAGAGCTTCTTCGGAATGATAACATGCAAGAGATTATGCGGCAACGAGTTCCATACCAAGCCCTCTTCGATTTCCTTCACGTGCTCTCAGCACACCCTGCTACAACCCCGCTAGTCTGTGATGTTCGAATCAGCTATCCTCTCGCCCGCACTCTACTCCCGGTCTGCTTCGGATATGGCCCTCTTCCAGTTTTAGACAGGTCGTCTAGCTCCAGTGACGATGAAAAGGGGAAGGGGAAAGCGGTGGAGCTTGAAGAGAAGCAGGACCAGCCTCAAGAAACGCTCAAGTCGTTAGTGAGTCTACTTTCTGCCTTGA